CCAACTCTCCTGAAAAAACTACTTTGGTATCTTTTGCTGTAGATCTGTATAATACCTAACTACGAAATTACAAAGCTTCAGTAATCACTTCCAATCACTGATATTGGACCAGGATCTACCCTTATCATAGTAATAGATAAACTCCTCACTTTGCTTTGTTATTCCCTCTCTCTCCTAGAACTACAAGTACCAAAAAGAGTCAATTCAGGCTGCTATTTGGTGGCAGTATTATTGACAAATAAAAGTGAAAGAGACCATTTTACAGATGCACTGACCAGCAGCCATTCTAAAAACCAAGGGTCATAGCGTATGTAGTGTGTGTGAAGGGCACCAGGAACGCTGCCTATCTTAAATATCTAACTCTACCCCAGTGGCTTATCAGAGCACTTAAAATGTTATCAATTAGAAAAATCTAACTTTTAGGTTAGACTTTTCTATTTCTAGGATTCTCCACATTAAAATGTAAATAGCCATGGAAAAGTAACAGACTAGGTCTCTGATACATCATTATTTGCCATTATGACACTAAACAGACAACAAAGCCCCACAAGAATAGGACAGAAAGAATAGGAGTGGTGAATAAGGGGCAAAAGAAAAGTATGGTTTATAAAGCATTGCAGCAGTAATTCCTGAGTGAATTCTTGTCCTGGGGGAAGTTGGGTATACACAGAGGAGCATGAAAGCCCCAGCCTCTGGGAAAAATGGAAGAAAAACAGAGAAAACTGAAAAAAGGAAGCTCAAAAACAAATAAAGCACTTCACAACTGGCTGGGAGGTCAACTCCCAAAGGGAATAATAATCCCAGAGCAGCAGCATAGTGTGAAGCAATCCTGAATACCACCTCTATCTTTAGTTACCACAAAGTCTGAGAAAAGCAGGAAAACAATCTCTAAAACCACCGATTACCAATTGAATATATCAAATACAGCACAGAAGATTTCTAAACCTTCTGTTCCTTCACCCACATTCCTCACTTCACCCCAAAGCAAGTGAAAAACTGATGGGAGAGGGGAGGAAAGGCATGCAGAGGGGAAAGTAGGCTTGTGTAGTTTGTAAAAGTTCCCTAAATGATCTACTTGTTTATGACATTATACTTCCTCTACAGTGACAAGCTCCTGCCTCCACCTAAGTCTACTTAGAATCCAGTTCCACCAATATGATAAGCGGATCCTGCACACTCTCTTTCAGTTCAAAGTTCTTAAATTCTTACATTTGAACTGACATGTGGTTTTGATTGCCACCTAGTGGAAGATATAGAATTAACCACAAGCTAAACTGAAGGTAAGATACTTAAAAAGTATCAAATACTGTTCTCTGTATTCTGTTAAAATAAAATAAAATAAAATAAAAAATTAACTGGCCACAAATGGAGTCACTTCTCCTAAGTCTCACTCAGCAAATGAAGACTTAACACTCATAACTGAAGTTTCAGCCTCCCCAAGGAAAGTAACCTTTAACCAGTCAATCTAGAAGTATCTGATCAACACTGGTGAGGTAATCTGCCTGACAAGACTCCTGCTTTCCACTAAAGAAAGGTGACCTTGCTTGCCTGAAATAATTCACTCTTTGATAATAACTTCATCTTGCCCCCTTCTGCCTATAAAAACCTTCCATTTCACAAAGCTCCTCACAGCTCCTTTCTATATGCTAGATGGGATGCTGCCTGATTCATGAATCGTTGAATAAAGCCAATTAGATCTTCAAATTTACTTAGCTGGATTTTTTTTTTTTTTAACAACTCTGACGGCTGAAGACAGTTTCCCAAAGTGTGGTTATAGGTAAGATGATTTTAGTTAGCACATGGATGAATGCTATTTTAACTGCTTGGTATTTACTGCAATGCAGAAAAAAGTATAAACGATAATTTAAATACACCATTTCATAAGTATGTGAAGATGAGGCTAAAATAACCCTAATTTTAAAAAGTTAAATAAAAAACACATTAAATCATAATATATAGGTGATAATGAGATATCATCAAAGTCATATGGTGACTCTGAAGTGGCTGAAGTTTTGGAAATAGTTGTCTAAGATGGTTCATTTATAGAAGATAAATTCCCCTCAGTGTGTCTGAGTTTTATTTACATATATAAAGTGAAGTAACTCATATTTTAATAGAAATTACAATATTTTAAGGTACTCCCACTTTTTTCCTCATCAAACACTTTGTTTTCAACCTATATTATTTCACAGGCAAATGTAACATTCAGTACTGCTCAGTCCATATAAATATTTGCCTTCTTTAAAATATGCTTACCTAGGTAGTTATTCCATGATTGTAAATAGTTGATTCCCTTTCATTTTGACAAGTTTCATTATAGAAAATATATTCCCATTTAATTTACACGGTTAAACAAGTTCTCAGAGAACTGTTTGAACTCCTGCCAACTTATTGCAATGGAATGTACTGTAATGACCTATGTTCTATTGTCACAATGGTCAATTATTTACCATAAAATATAGAGGTTTCAAAAAAAATACTGAGCATTCAATCAGTATTCATTAGTTCTTGTATTCACTGATGTTGAAATATATAAGTGAATATTATGAGATTCATTATCTTCTCTGATGGCCATTTTAAATGACGAATTTAAATTTCTCTTATGATAAATTTCACATTGCCACCTCTAGCTCCAAGAAAGACTAAAAAATTAAGTACAGTCATGTGCTGCATAACAACGTTTTGGTCAGGGAGGGACTGCATATACAATGGCAGTCCCAAAAGATTATAATGGAGCTGAATAATTTTTATCATCCAGTGACATCATAGCACAACACATTATAATTGCCTACTATATTCAGCACAGTAACATTGTAGCATAGGAGCAATAGGCTATGCCACACAGCTTAGGTGTGCAGTAGGCTACACCATCTAGGTTTGCGTAAATGCACTCTATGATGTTCGCACAATGAAATCACCTAAGAACACATTTCTAAGAAGGCATCCCTGCTGTTAAGTGACCCATGACTGTATCTGGAAAACAGAAACAGTATTATCAAGACTAGTTTAAACCAATTGTCCTTCATCTCCTGGATTGGAACCTACTGTGACCCTTAACAAAATTAGGAACAAAATTAGGATTCTGCAGGCAAGGAATAGATGAGGTTATTGAATATTTGTTGGATATTTACCTAACAGTATCCACCACACCTCCCACCTCAAGCACTCAGTTCCTCTCTAAGGAGGCAACTACCCTTACAGTTTCCTATTTATCTCCCCAGAGTCATTGAGACATATTGTGTGTGTGTGTGTGATTATATATAATTTACTGATTTATTTTTACCCAAATGGTGGTATACTATACTATATACTATGTTCTGCACTTCGCTTTTTTCACTTAATAAAATAAGTTGAAGACCTGTTTCATTTCAATATGTAATAAAGCCACTTCCTTCTTTTTAATGGGCAAAAAATATTCCATTGTATTAATATGCCATAATTTATTTATCCAGTCCTGTAAGAAAAGATATTCTGGTTGTTTTCAATCTTTTGCTCTTATAAAAAATACTGCACTAAACAACCTCGTACATATATTATTTGACACTGCGAATTAATGCTTAGAAGTGAAATTTCTGGGCCATATAAACTTTGGAATTGGATACTGGCATTTTTTAGGGGAGGTGGGGTCACATTAAATTTGTGGATTGAAATTTAAAGAGCAGGACATTTTATTTTAGAGTCTAACCCTTGAGAGCAAATTATGCCTTTTTCTTTACACGTCATATTTTACTAATTCTAGTACGCACATTTACATTTCTAAAGTATAGATACATCACATAATCCAGGACATCTTTTAATCAGTGTCAACCAGTAATTATTTTTGGTGGCATGACAGATAATTGTCATCTCTAGTCATTTCTGTCATCACAATAGTCAAGGACTATTTGAAGAAGAAATTTGAGCCATGGTGCTGTTAGAAAACCTTCTGTGACACCTTCTGGTAAGATCAGTAAAGTGCAAGCATCAAAACTAAAAGTGTCAGTGATTTGGAAGAAAATTCTTTCAAGAAATGCTACATTATCAATGCTCTTAATGGTACAAAGGACAATTTTGTATTGGGGGAAAAACACTGATTTTGATGACTTCAAGTCAAAAAGTGATTCAGAAGAATTGGATTCCAAATGTAAAGAATCAGATTAGGACTATCTTAACTGATATACTTTGTTTATATTTTCATTTTTATAGTTGCATAAAGGATATATATATATGATACAATGCCAAATAAGCTAACGAGCTCTTTCATTAATTAAACAACAACAACAACAACAACAAACTCCTAAGAGAATATTGTATCAGAGGTATTGGCAGCAGTTTTTCTTTGTGTATATTAAAAAAACAAATAGTGCAACTTATAATCAGTATCTCAGATTTGAAGAAATACTCTAAATCTTATTTTAGGTCCCTCAGTAGTATTTCAGTTTCTCTCATATGGATTTTGCATTCTTAAGGATATTCCTATACATTTTATCTTTTCTTTCATTACATTTTCTCATCAGAATGTTATTTATTTTTCCCTATTTTGTAAACAGCCACCTTACTGAACTCTCGCAGTATTTATAACAATTTTCACTGGATTCTCTTGGGTTTTCCAGGTATGCAATGAAATAAATTTTAAACTCAAATCTTAAACTATCTGTTGGAATTTAAGCTCAGTGATGGTAAGGATTGTACATTACTTTCACTTTCTATCCCCAGCACCTAGCATATGAACTGTCACAAAGCAGGTAATCAAAATATAGTTGTTAAATGAATTATATAAATGCATCTTACTTCATAAAACTTATACCTCCCCCACCCCGAGATGTTGAGTTTAATCGAAAAAGTCAAATATAAATGAGGAAATAGTGTTCATATTTATTTCCCCTCACTACAAACATACAGACCCTGTATAAAACTGGATATTTTATAACCAAAGCTATATATGTTTGGTTATAATTAGTTTTATTTTAATAATTAAAAAACCTTAATTATGAGATAAGCGTTTTATTTTAAACATTTACCTTTTGGATCTTAGATCTGATGAATCAAACTGGATATTCATAGGTCCGGGATTTATTTCATGATCTACTTCAGGGATGAGAAGATGCCTAGAATCATTATCCATATTTGCCATTTTTCTCAGATTCTAAGCACTGAAGTAGTCAGTCCTATACAAATCAGAAAGGATAAATTTAAAGTTTAATTAAATAATTATTTTACCAGTAATAAATAATACATTTGCATGCATAACTAATTAGAAAAATATGGGAATATGTCTTACTGTGATATATGCCTAAAACATTTATTAGAAACTTGCTAAGTAAAATTGGAGTTACTGCTTATTTTTGCTTAATAAAAAATAATCAATTTCTAGTAATAAAACAGATTAGGCTGTTTGGACTCATTTTTCTGCAGAAAACTAAAAATACTGTTTAAAATATAAAAATCATCTTTTGAAAAGCTTCAAAAATAGTGAGAAATATCAGGCCATTTGCAGGTAAAATTAAGGAACCTAGAGAGGTAAATAGCTCATGGAAGTTGTTTCTGCTCTGAGGGTATTTGATGTACCAGGAGAAATTGGGCTAAGGTTTTCAAGCTTTTATGAAGTATTAGGGAAATAGAAGACAAAACCAGATTCACTCAAAATAAAGAATGATTATAATAAGAAATCATCTCCTCCCCTATTTCCCATAATATGCCTGGGACTACATAGAGCTTTATCATCAGATTAGGGGTTACAAGAAGTAAAAGTGCCTCATTACCTCACAAGGGCACTACGAACAAGTTTTCTTGACACTAGCCATAGCGTGTGTGTGTATGTGTGTCTGTGTGCCTGTGTACATATGCGGTGGAGGAAATGGTTCATATTACAAACTGCACCTCATGTGGATTTGCAAGGTGGTCAAAAAACACTTAAAGCTGTGAATATAATTTAAGGTTAACTTGCTTAAGGTTAAATGTAAATCTTTTATGTGAGGATACACCTTCATCCTAGGCCTCAAAGAAGACTTGCTGACAATCTTTCAAGGATAATAAATAGTACACAGTCAAAATTAACCTAGCATGTAAAGAAATAAAGTAATAAGAACCAGAAGAAATAACAGCAGAAATAGATCCACAAGGACTTTGACTATAGTGATTATCAGAAAATTATAAAACAATAATGCTTCATATGTTTAAATAAATAAAGGAAAAGGGGGATATTTCCAAAATGTCCAGAATGTTTGAAAAGGACCAGAGTTAATTTTTAGGCCAAAATTTAAAAAAATAAATAAATAAAATATCCAAAAATTTAAATTCAATGAACGTGTTTAAAAGTTAAAGATAAAATTAATGAACTAGGAGATTAAATCAGAAGAAACTATCTAGAATGTGGCAGAGGGAAGGAAAAGACAGAAAATGTGAAAAAGAGGTAAGAGACATGGGAGACAGAACAAGATCTAAAATGCATGTAGTTGGAGAATCAGAAAGAGATGAGATGGCAAAGGTCATCTGAAGAGATAACGGCTGAGAAATTTCTAGAATTCATAAAAGAACAATCTACAGATTAAAGAAGTTTAATGAATCCAAGCAGAATTAAATAATTTGTTATTGGGTTGAGAAAAAAAGAATTAAAATTCTAGACCAAAGGGGAAAAAAAGTCAAGGGAAGGTCTTGGAATTAAAGTGGTTGAAGTTCCTTGTATCGTCCAGATCAACATTATACTTTGATATGACACATGTTCTAATTTTAAAGGTAACTACTAACATAATAAGAGTACGGCGTATAATTTAAAATCTAGTAGAGAGGGAATAGAGAATGATAAAAATTAATTGACCTAAAAAAAGGCACAAAAAGAAAAAAATAAAACAAAGGTAGGATATAAAATATAAAGCATAAAATAGATAAGATCCTCTCATTCTTTCTTAAACCCATGCTCATCAGACTATCTTCCTCATCACTACACAAAAACTGCTCTTGTTAGATGACCTCCAGATGGGTAAAACCAAGGGTCCTTTCTCAAGCTTTAACTTACTTGCCCCATTAGAAATATTTGCCACAAGGTTATCATTCTCCTTAATAAACAAGATTCACTAGGGCTCCAGGTTTTCTCTGTACTTCTCTGGCCCCTCCTCCTCTGTCTCCTTCACTGTTTGCTCCCTGTCTCTCAGACTTCTTAAAATTGCAGAGTTCCAAAGTTCAGTCTTGGTCCTCTTCTTTATTTACCATATTTACTGATATGGAGAAAGTTTAAGTGGTCTGGATAAAAGATCAAACGAGTCACAACATTCCCTTAAGCCAAAGCCTAATCCAGAACAAGGCCTTAATTCTCTTCAATTCTGAGAGCAGTAAGGAAGCCGCAGAACAAAAGTTTGAAGGCAGCAGAGGTTAGTTCATAAAGTTTAAGGAAAGAAGCCATTTCCATAACGTAAAAGTGCAAGGTGAAGCAGTAAGTGTTTATATAGAAGCTGCAGCAAGTTATCCAAAAGATCTAGCTAAGTAATGAAGGTGGCTACACTAAACGATAGATTTTCAATGTAGACAAAACAGCCTCCTATAGGAAGATGTCATCTAGGACATAACTAGAGAGGAGAAAGCAATGCTTGGCTTCAGAGCTTCAAAGGACAGGCTGATTCTCTTGTTAGGGGCCAATGCAGATGGTGACTTTAAGTTGAAGCCCGTGCTCATTCACCATTCTGAAAATCCAAAGGGCCTTAAGAATTATGCTAAATCTACTCTGTGCTCTATAAATGAAATAACAAAGCCTGGATAATAGCATATATGTTTACAATAAGAATATTTTAAACCCACTGTTGAGACCTACTGCTCAGGAAAAAAGGTTCTTTTCAAAATATTGCTGCTCATTGACAATACACCTGGTCACTCAAGAGCTCTGATGGAGATGTATAACAAGATTAATGTTGTTTTCCTGCCTGCTAACACAACATCCATTCTGCAGCCCACAGATCAAGGATTGATTTTGACTTCCAAATCTCATTATTTAACAAATACATTTCATAAGGCTATAGCTGCCATGGATAATGATTTCTTGAATGCGTCTGGACAAAGTAATTTGAAAACCTTCTGGAAAGGATTCACCATTGCCATTAAGAACATAAGTGATTCACGAGGTCAAAATATCAACATTAACAGGAGTTTCTAAGAAGTTAATTCAATCCTCATGGATGACTTTAACGGGTTCAATTCTTCTGTGGAGGAAGAACTGCAGATGTGGTGGAAGTAGCAAAAGGACTAGAGTTAGAAGTGGAGACTGAAGATGTGACTGAATTGCTGCAATCTCATGATAAAACATTAACAGATGAGGAGTTGCTTCTTATGGATGAACAAAGAAAGTGGTTTCTTGTGATGGAATGTACTCCTGGTGAAGATGTTATGAAGACCATTGAAATGACAACAAACGATTTAGAATATTTAGAATATATAAACTTAGTTGATAAAGCTGTGGCAAGATATGAGAAGTTTGATTCCAATTTTGAAAGTTCTACAGTGGGTAAAATGCTATAAAACAGTATCACATGCTACCGAGAAATCGTTCGTGAAATGAAGGGTCAATCAATGTGATAAACTTCATTGTTGTTTAAGAAATTGTCACTTCAACCTTCAGCAACCACCACTCTGATAAGTTGGCAGCCATCGACATTGAGACAAAAAGACTCAGATGATGGTTAGCATTCTTTGGCAATAAGGTATTTTAAATTAAGGTATGTACATTGTTTGTTTTAGACATAATGCTATTGCACATTTAATGGACTACCTTATAGTGTAACAAATACGCAATGGGAAACCAAAAAATTTGTGAGACTTGCTTTACTGCAATGGTCTTAAATTGTATCTCTAAGGTATCTCTAAGGTATACCTGTATTCTAAGAGAGCTAAGATGTCAAGCCACTTACCTATCAAGGCCCTCACTCTCACAACTGAGTTGGGCAAAAACGGGGAGGAGTGATCTGTCTTGGCCCTCAACCCATTTGTGGTCCTAGCTCAATGCACAAAGGGGTTTCCTCCGGATAGAGAAAGACGCTCCGATTCCGGCAAATGACTTCCTCCCTCCTTCTTTCATTCAGGTGCTCATCCAAGGTAACCCTGCCTTTTTCTTGAGGATCCAGCAGACACCCACTCCCACAGTCCCTCGAATTCTCTCAGCCCCCAAGGGAGTCCCTGGTTTCTCGCACCCAGCTCTATGAGGAGCGATCTCCGGGGGACCTCAGCTTTGGCCTCACCGCTCCCCCAAGAGGACACTGTTCTGACGGGTTTCTTCAAAGAACTTCCCGAATGACAGCCGGCTCCATCGCAAGCTCAGCTCCTTCGCCACTTCCCCTTTGATCCCCTCCACTTGATCTGGAGTGGCCAGTCGCGAGACCAGGGAACGTGCTCTCCCTGAGAGGCCAAGACCTCAGTCTTCGAGAACTCGCCAAGAAGGTGGAAACCCCTTACCAAATCCTCTGAACTTGATGCAGCCAGGCTTCAAGTCTCCACAGCAGGAAGAGGCAACGGCCTAGACCGCGGGGGCCGGCGGGGATTGGAGTTCTGAGAGCACTAAGCCAGCCACTGCTGTCAAACCTCCCGCCGCTGCAGACTACAACGCCCAGAGGTCTTTGAGGCAGACAACACGCCTCTCGCCGCAGAGCCCAGCCCTACGCCTTTAAGAAGAGGGTCAGCCCAGGTGAGCAAGTCACTTCCAAGCCGTCGCCTGGTTTCGGGCCAGGGGCCTTGCCTGAGGCTCTAAGACGTCTAGAAGGAGGGACCCTGTTGCCTGTAAGCCTTGCAGCCCTGGAGGCCATATGAGAAAAGACTGATGTGGAATCTTCATCTAGGGTTGATCTCCCATTATCTGCCTCTCCTCTCAGGCTTTCCTGGCTGGTGTTCTGTACTCGCGTCACGCGCTTGAACCCTGTGGACACCAAGGGACGCTGGTTTGAAAAAAATTGTCGGGTTGGCACTCTTCCTCCCTTGTCTAGACACTTAGTTCCCCCCCCCCCCCCCTCTTTCAAATGTGTTGACAATCTGTAGGCTAAAAGAGGGGCTTTCGGGGAGAATTTAACACTCTCTTCCCATCCCTAGCCATTTCTCCCAAAGCCATCCCAAATAAACATACAGTCTAAGTAAAATTAGTGTGCTTGTTATTAAAAAAAGGCAACTCAAGGTAAGTCCTCTGATATGCGTATGGCAACACCTAAGCCTGTTTTACATAGGAAGCCAGTGGATTTTTTTTTTTTTTTAAACAAAGCAAATTCAGTAGAAACCACATTTTGAATTTTGATCTTTCCCCAGACTAGTGATGTGTGATACGATACTCTCGTGATATGTGGCACAATACTCTTATGATACTGGACAGAATATTTTCCTTCTTTCTTTGCATTTCAGGCTGAGAAAATAACTTTAAGCAAGGCTGAGAAGCACAAAGATAAATGGTATGGAGTGATATCAGCGAAAATGGCAGAATAGGGAACTTGAAAACTATCCCTTTGTAAAAGCAACAAATAAGCTGGCGAAACTGCCAGAATCAACTTTTTTTTTTTTTCCTTTGGAACTCTAGAATCAAATAAAAAACTTAGAACAACCAGGGGACACTTAAGAAAAGACTGATGAATTTTGGTAAGAGAGGTCTGTGATCACCTTTTACTCTCCAGCTTGGAAGTAGCCTTGAAGACAAAAGCCTAGGAAGGAAGAGGCTGAGGAAGCAAATACTTGGGAGAATAAGTATTTTGAAAAGCTCTCTCTTTTTCTGGGGAATCTAGAAGGCTACATGCATGCCCAGGTCTGAACACATGCTCAGAAAACACCTGAGAAGACCCTAAGCTTTCACATCTGGCTGACCTTCAGGCTCTGTGCAAACAGGAAGTGAAGGCCAAGGCAGAGTTATATACTGGCTAGGTGTTGAAGGAATACCACAAAACGGCTGATTGGCAAAGACTGGGAGAATTATTTTTGCATTTTGACTATTTTTCATTTTTTATTTTTTGTGTATAGGCATTAAATAAAGACATCTCTGTTAAATCACTAGCTGACCACAAAGCTAATGGAACACAGACTTCAGTGGCCACACAACAAAATATACAGACTTTATAGAATTAGTGGACTGACAGTTAAGAACCTTGATCATATTCAAACTTGGTTTATTAAATCAAGCTTTTATAGGTGGTGTTTTATATTTCCCATCGTATCAGGAAGCACATGAGGTCTTTCCCTTTTTTTTTTTTTTTTTTTAATGCTTACGGCACCTAGTATTCCTAGGTTGTCTCCCATCCAAGTACTAACCAGGCTCAACTCTGCTTAGCTTCCGAGATCAGATGAGATCCGGCACATTCAGGGTGGCATGGCCGTAGACAAGGCCTTTCATTTTTGATATTAAACTGTTCAGTGGCCTCAAATATCGTCTCTTACAAAATTCCTCTTCAACTTTTCACTAGCCGTTGATGATAAACAGCCATTGATCATCTAGATCAGAGGTTCATGTCACCCCTAGTGTCTGAGTAATTTTTTTCTCAGTGTCCTTAGTTTCTATTTACTAAGTAATTAGATCCAAACAAATTAATGTGTTTTTGTCCTAACATCTAAGTAGCCACTTAAAAATATATACACAAATTGAAAAAAAAATATTTTATTTGATTCTTAACCACAAATGTTTACTAATGGGTTGTGTACACCTATTGGTCACTGCATAATTTCTCAAACCTTTGAATCGGATGGGATGCCACTATCCTCATTTCTTGTTCCACATTGGATTTTGTACAGCACTTGCTTGAGATCATAGCGACTGTTAAAATTCAACTTTGCAAAAGTATATTATCCAAAATAGTTAACTTGATTTAATGTTGAAACTGCGATTACCTCAAGCTGGTATTTCACATGGCATCTGATTGATGTTGCTGTATTTTCCTCAAAAACTTAAAATACTCCTGTGTCACCGTGAGTTTCCTGTAGTGCTCTCACAGTTTGAGCGGTGCATGTCGCTAGCCATGATTTTTCTGGCCTAGAGCAAAAATTGGCAAATTTTTCCTATAAAGGGCCCAATAGTAAATATTTTAGGCCTTGTGGCCATATGGTCTCTGTCAACAATTACTCCATTCTGCCTTTTTGTTATGAATGCAGCCAACATAGACAACATGCAAACAAATGAGGTGGCTGTATTCCAATTTATTTATAGAAACAGTAATTGGGCTGGATTTGTCCCTAGGACCATAGTTTCCTGATGGCTGGCCTACAGTGAATATTCTTATTTATTAGCTGGAACTCTTCTAAGGAGAAATTTGTTGTTCCCTCAACAAATTTGTTACCCCAAAACTCAATTTAAACACTTGTGTTTTCTTTTTACCAGTTTTCAGAATGGGTTGGTAACCTCGCATCTTGCTAAGGTGACCAATGGGTTTTTTGTTTTGTTTTGTTTTGGAGCTTTTTCTGTATCATTATGAACTCACTGCGTTTAAAAACATATTTGATGTGTTTCAATCCTTTGAAGATGCATATATTTAAATTTGAAATAATTTCAAGTTTACAAAAAAGTTGCAAAAATAGCGCAAAGAGCTCCCATATACCTTTACTGAATTATCAATTGTTAATATTTTGCCATATTTGTTTTATCATTCTCTCCCTTTCTCCCTCTCTCTATCCATCTCCTCTCTCCCTCTCATCCATCTCTCTACACACACATACGCACACACACACACATACACACACACTTTTTCCTAAACCATTTGAGATTAAGTTGTAGACAATATGACTTTTCTCCTAAAATTTTCAGTATATATTTCCTAAGAACAAGGATTTTCATAATACAATGAACTTTAAAAAATGTATACAATGCTCTTATTCAATTTATAGATCTTACAAAAATCTTACAAATTGTTCCAAATACATCCTTTATAGGAATTTTCTTTTCTCACCCAGAACCCAACATAGGATTGATCATGCATTGCATTTAGTCTTTTGTGTCTCTTTAGGCTCTTTAAATTTAGAATGATTCCTTAAGCCTTTCTTTCTCTTTCATGACATTGACATTTTTGAAGAGTATAGGTCATTTAGTAGAATGTCCCTCAATTTGAATTTATCCAATGTTTCCTCAAAATTAGGTTCAAATTATGCATTTTTTTGCAAGAATAATACAGGAGTATTGTAGTATCATTCTCACTGCTTCACATCAAGAGGCACATGATGTTGACTGATGCTAAAGGTTCTAGTACCAATTCTGGCATGAAGGTGGGGAGATGGTGTTTCTATACCACCAAGCAATTCTTGGACATCAGCTAGGTATTCTACAATTTAACTCAATTATGACACTATCTACAGGTTAAGGGTTCAGTCCTACAAAAAAATCTTCCCATCCCCATCCCCTACTTCGGATGTTGATTGAAAGTCCAAGATGTCACCTGACCAACCAACTGTAGATCTTAGGTTGCCATGACCCCCTCCTTGGATTCTATTACCTTTCCAGAGTGACTTACAAGACTCAGAGAAACATTTTCCTTACTAAATTATTGGTTTGTGATAAAAGGATATAACTCAGGAACAGCCAGAAGACAGAGATTCATAGGGTGAGGTGTGGGGAAAGGGCATGGAGCTTCCATGACATCTCCCAGCTTGACACTCTCCATGTATTCATTAGCACTGAATCTCTATGAATTCTGTCCTTTTAAGTTTTAAGCAAGCTTCATTACATAGGCATGATTGATAAGTCATTGGCTATTGGTGATTGAACTCAACCTCCAGCACCTTGCCTCTCCTATCCCTGGAGGTGGGGGAGGGTAGGATGGAAAGTTCCAACCCTCTAATCACATGGTTAGCTCCACTGGCAGCAAACTCCCATCCTGGGTATGGTCCAAAAGTCATCTCATAAAGTGCACCTTTGTAGCTCTCATCACAGGAAATTCCAAGGTTTTTAGGAGCTCTGTGCCAGGAATGGGGTTGAGGTTCAAATATATATTTTTTATTATAAATAAAAATTTTATTATAGTACATACAATATCACAAATGTGTATTGGTCATCATTGCAAGTTAGTCTTTAAGAACTTTAGTGAACTATGTCTCCAGTTCTCACTGCTTTATATAGTCCCCTCTCTGTGAATCTCCATTGGCTCTTTGATTTTTTGAAACCAATAGAATGTGGAAGTCTTGCAATTTATGACTTGGTCTATGGAAATACTGTCTTTGGAAAAGTTTGTTCACTTGGACCTCCAAGAAGCTCAAGTTAGCCACTTGGAGAAAGAGAGATGTCTGTCCAACACTCAACTGTTCAGCCATCCCAGCCCCAGATATCAGAGTAAAGAAGCCATCATGAATATTTAACCAAATTGATATTCACCCTTCAGATGAAATAAGCTCTAGACATCTGACTGTAACCTATGAGTGATCCCAGCTGAGCCCACTAATTCCAGAGAACCATGAAAAATAATAATAAATTGTTTTAAGTCATCAAATTTTGGAGGATTTTG